GTAGAGCTGGAAGATGTCTCATTTTTATGAGAATTTCGCGGGCTACAATCATGTCTCATTAATAAAGGTTTTAGTTATTCTGTTAGAGTTTCTGAAAAACTGGTTTTCCAGAAATCGGGCCTTAAAGAGCCGTCAGCCGATATCCTTTTAGGGTTTATCTACTCGAGACCCCCTATTGAATGATGCGTGAACGAACGAAATCGGAGCGGGGCACCTGAGAATGTTCCCTCGTGAGTCCGAATATGTGTGTTTTAACGTTCGAAAAAACGATTTTGAGGTTGAAAATTTAAAAAACTAAAATTTTTCATGGACTTTTGAAAGGAATCAAAAATAAAGTTTTCAGGTTCAGTTTTTCACATACAACAAAAAATAAAATATTTTTAAAATTATCTAAAAGCTACACACCGAGATTTCGACTTGTTTTTAAAATTAGGTCATTTTAAAATGTGTTAAATTAGGTCGTCAACATTTTTTTGTTAGTTCTGATTAACAATGTTTTTGCTTTTGTTTTTTCTATGATATACGACAGGTTTTATCGCTATTTCCGTCACATATCGTATATTTGTTTACTCATCTACTTTTCTTCTATGTTTGAAGCTACGTGTGTTATAATAAAAATAGTTTGAAAACTGTGTTTCGATTTGTTTTTACTACTTAAAACCTACGAAAGAATGCTGACGATGGGCAAAATAAACTCCAGGATACATTATAAATACATTATATTGATAATATTACTTCGTTCCTTTTTGTTGATTCAGTCTTATTCTAACTGTAGCATTTATGAATGGCAATACAGAACGTATTTTACTTTATTATTTTTATTTATTATACGTTCCAAAAAAGGTATTATGAACTTTCATAAATTAGATTTGGCATTTTACAAAATATAATTTGTATATAACATATACTGTGTAGAATCAGTAAATAAAGTAATGGACATCTTTTCTATATATTCCCAAGTTTTTTTCCTGTCTCTAAGTAGCTAAGGAGATTGATTAGCACTATTATTTCTTTCCTTTGCACTTACTTTGGTTTTGTTGCACATGTATGTGTAACAAAAGCACAGGTGGATCCTTTGACCTTCGTTGAACCAGAAGCTTTTTTATTTCATGAGGAAAAAGTGATGAATGAAGAAGGAATCGCTTAGAGCCTTTGAAGAGGTTAAGTTTGAATATTCTTATACCTCCGTGAGGGAAAGATCTGAGCCCGCAATAGCAGCGTATGGGATGGTTGAGTTTTTCACAAAATTGACATCAATAATGTAAGAGAAACTACTGGCAGATGTCAAAAACCCTCTACTAAACCTTTTTTAAAAGTTTTTTACCCGTCTTCAAAAAAGGTTTTAGTAGGGCGCTTTTGACGTCTACGATACCTTTTTGGAGCAGCATTTTACCAGACCATAAAGGGTATCTGATCGGGACGTTTTCTAAGCCCTTTGCGTTTTGTACACGGCGCTTTCTTTTTAGAGTACAGTAGGACTTGATGCATATGATATATAAAGATTGTTATTGCTGTGAATTATTGAATCCGGAGGCTGTTATCAATAGTACATCTAACAACGTACATTCGAGCTGTACACAAGAACACCATACATCACACCGCCATAATGATTAAACACCCACAGTTTTCCTCAGTGCCACACAAAGCCCATCCTGCAAAATCAGTGGGCAAAATGGAATAAAAGTTACACATGATCACGCAGTTATCATTGAAAAAAGACTAGCGTGTGGATTGTAAACCTGATAGTTTCAATCGTGTAGAACGTTGTTCCATTAATAAATTCAAGACTACAAGAATCTCCGCCGAACGCTATAATATGCGTTAGATTTGATGATGGACTGATTATTCGGATCTATCTGATAACTGTTTACTTCGTGTGAATCATGGGTTACATTCAGCCGAGATTGCCTTATGCTTTAGATGGTGAATCGGTAGAAGAAATAATAAAGTAGAACCTATAGTTATCAGATGACCAGGTGATTCTAGCTGATATAGTGCACAAATAGGACGAGATGAGTTAAGATGGACCAATTGCTGATAATTGGATCGAAAAATGAGGCATCAGCCGAAAATTGACGGGGGAGCACCCCCAAGTAGGCATGCACCAATTCTAGAATTGGTTTTTTGGTGCGTTTGCGATATAACTTTGGCATGGTGGGGGAAGTTTTATGGAGAAACTCTAAAAAATTAGCTGAGAACGAAGAAAAAAAAGACAAGGGCTTTAACTTTTTCCGAGTAATTTTTTCCAAACAAGGTACGGGAATTCTCCCACCTAATCGAAAACACTGGATGCATCTTCGAAAATAATTGTATCTCACAAATCATTTGTTACCAATTTTTATCCACGATGTAGGATTGTACTGTCGACTTTTCTTTAAAAAACAGGCTATTTGGAAATTTTGCAGCAGCGTTAGATTAAACATTATACAGTATTGTTTAAAAAAAGGAATTGAATTGGAATTGGTCGGAATTGGTTAATATTTCTCTTGTTTTCGTTTTCTCAAATGCAAGTACAAACTTCATTATACTTCGTTTTGTAGAGAAAAACCTGCTGAACAATCTGATGTATGCAAAAAACATATAAAATAAATAAATCGTCTTAGAACTAGTAATTATTTTCAATAATCTTCAAAAAAGAATTGATACATGTCTACCCTCAAAAACTAAATCAAGTTTCCCTTGAAGCCTAACTTAGAAGAATGCTACTAGGCAGTTCTCGATAATTTACAGAAAATTTACTGTCGCATGTCGTCCAATGTGGCTACAGCTTTTCTTACAGCAAATTCTTTGTGGCTTTTCGAAAACTTGCTCGGGCGCAGTCCTTAATATTTTTATCTACGGGTAACTCGAAGAGTCAAAATTTGTTTATCATGGAATTTGAGAGAGACCAACTTTTCACAGATCCACCTGAAGCCGCATCAGCCGAAATGGATAGCATAACCATGATCAACATCAGAAGTAATCTATAATCAAGCACCTTTCATGAAAGAACCAGTTTATCTCTTGTGAATGTTCCCTTGTGAATATTAAAAACCATTTGAAACCATAGTCGAAAAGATTGTTCATTGATAAAAACTGCCGTATCTGATGATAACTGAACAATTGCCGCTAATTTTTTCTTCTTGTGCAGTCCTCGACATCACAGTCGTATCCTGCAGCGAGACACCTTATTTCAGTCCATCGTGCGTACTTCTGTCTTTGTCAGTAACTGAAAAGTCGTATTATGTCAGAAAAAAATGTGACTTTTTTGTGTATATTTCGTAACATTCTTCTAATCAGATATTGAGTGCATTATATTAGAGCTCGTGAATATTAAATTCAGAATTGTAATGCACATGAAATGTTGTGCACGAAATTTTGATCGTTTTCCAGGTAGTATTACTGCGATTCATACTACCTCTCAAAATATACGACAGTGGTACAGGTACGCAATTATACTTCAAGGAACAGACAGTAGTCTCTTTAGTTCTTTTAATTTTTTATATATAATCATACTATAAATCTTTATTATTTTACTGTGTGTACGATATATTCCTTGTGAGAAAGATAAACAATCTTCTATCTTTATAACATTTACTCCTACACATGATCCATTTTGTCAAGTGATGCTTTGAATGAAACTCGTCGAATAGCTGGTAGATAGCCTGCAAAAATAAAAAAATCCGTGTACTTCTACACCGAAAATTGAAGAGATGTCAGAGTTTCTACATTTCAGACATTTTACGTAGATTTTCACAAATTTCTATTTACTACTGATTGAAACATTTTCCTACAATGAATGCTAGCAAATGTACAGAATTCCATGTGACTACTGCTCTAGTCTATTTCCTCCAAGTGACAAACAAGCTGAAATGTGGTTTAATGGCTCACTCTCATGCTCTCCCCCGCACCTCCGTTCCCCCCCGCTCACGGTCATACAAAAATATCGTTTACTAAAGTAGTAATTTCAGGTAAAATACTCTGGAAATTCCGCAGGAATTTCGATTTTGTAGCAGAATTGATGTAAAGTGCCGCTAATTCAAAAATCAAGTGAAATTGTTTTATGAATTTATTATATCCCATTCGATAGAGTTTTTTAAACAAAATCAAGAATATGTGGTTTTTAATTTTTCGAAGCGTTTCTTTCATGGCGAAAAATCGAGAAAACTCGAACAACCTCAAAACTCGAAAAACGATGATGTTCAAAAAGATTAGATTTCCGACATGGAGAAACGTTTCGAAAAATTAAGAACTACATATTCTTGATCAATTCAAAAACCTCTATCGAACGGTGGATAATAAGTTCAAAAAGAATTCCACTTGAGTTTTGAATTAGTCGCACCTTACAATTCCGAAATTATGATTTTTATGACAAAAACATTCTCCTGTACAACAGAAAAATCAGTAGTCACATAGAATTCTGTACATTTCAGCTTGTCTCTTACTTGATGAAAACAGAATAAATCGGTAGTCACAGAATTCTACATATTTCTTAGAAGTCCAACTCAGACCGTTGATCTTATAGCTCTAAAGAAATTCTTCTATAATTCAAAGGCGATTTCTGGACATTGTCTGGAATGTAGGAAATCTGTCATTGCTGGAAAATTGTATCTATTACTTGTTGGAGTAGATTTTGATCTTCTTTGACATTCGACATCAATATCAACAGGAATTCTTGGTTGATAAATCGTATTTAATACTTCTAATGGACACAATGTACTTGGACAGCCTATATATATAAAGGTGTATGAACTTAGCACACTCATCTACGACGATGGTGTTCCAGCAGTAAATTCAAACAAACATAAAGAAATATAGTACTGTTGCAATATTATCGATCATATATTATTCATATAGTTCACCTTTCTTCTCTCACATTCGTCTGCTTGCTTTTTTAAATATATTAGTAAAAATTCTTCGTGCATAATTATATTCTGATAATGAGAGGAGAAATAATTGTTGAAATATCAATAAAGATTTTACACTGAAAGTATATTTTTAACAGTTCTGTACTTTCTATTACGTTTAATGAATCATAATCTAATATTCTGTTCAAATAGATTAATAGTCACTAACGTCAATTTACCTTGAATTTGTATTGGATAGGTTGTATTACTATTTGTTCTATCCTGATAATCAATCTGGATTGCATAACTATTTGTATCTGAAAAGTAAGCAGGGAAAAGAGCGAGTGCGAAAATATAAAACTTTACACAACGAACCTGTCTGATAAACATCGAAAAATAATGCACCTGCATACGGTGGTTGATGAACATAATTAGCACCAAAAAATGATAAAACTGATGCTATTGTCATATCATGCTATAAATAGATACACATAAGTTTTGTAATCTTAGCTAGCGGTTCGGTAATACAGACATACAGCTGAATAGATTTTTGCTTTTTTTCCACTTGAACTTCCGCTGATTAAATTCTGGATATTGTCCAGAATATCTTTGATTAATGGACCTAGTTGATGCTCATAACAAATTATTTTGAATACAATCAATTTTTTTCTATAACTAACTTACCAGCTCGTAGTCGATTTATGTCAGGTGACAACAATAAATGATAAAATGATAATTGATTAATTAATTTCAATTCCTGGAGAATTGAAGGCGTTACCCAACTCGGTGTAACATTATAAATGTCCTAAAAGTCAGAGAATTACTTTGACGTAGCTCAACAGTAGTAGTGCGGACAAATATAAATTTTTCAATGTCGAACATGTTGCTCTAATGAGACGAGCCGCTCGGACTAATTCAATCCGTTTTCAGTGATATTTTGCGCATGTCTAGAGGATAGGACAACTGTATGATAATTTGGTATTTTTCTACTTAGAGCCCGAAATGAATCAATAAAATCTGATTGGATTCGGGACAACACTTTAGAATCTTAAATCAATTCGATTCGATTCGCCCCAATCTTATGCAAAATAAAGTATGATTCTCTTTTGCTTTCAAATGTTTGTTTAAAATACACTTCCTCAAGTTAGAACACGTTATCTATATGATTAGAGCTTTCGAACATGCATTAGAGCAAAAACAACCAAAAAAGCTTGTCAGCGTTGCTTGTACGAAGCAAAAACGTAGAAACTTCCTAATGAACTGTTGGATTATAACATAGAACATATATAACATAGTAATAATATATCATAATAATTTTTAAAACTTGTGTCTAAAAACATCAGACGCACTGTCTCTTACTGGTCCATTCAGTAGCTGTAAACACCAAATTTATATGCTGAAATGTGTGTTTACATCTACTCAAATGGTGGTTACAGCCACTGATAAAAAACCCTCGGGAAACTACAAAAATCGTCGTATATAAACTTTATACTTCAAACTTCCTTTTCTATCGGAAAACGGACAAGTCTTAGAACGTTTTCGCAAAAAAGATAGTTTGTTCGAAAAAGTCAAATTAAGTTCGAGTTGATTTGATTGAGTATTCCAGGAAACAAATTCGATTTGACACAAAGTTGAATCGAATCGAATGTCGAATCATTCAATTTGTTTAGGGCTCTGACTCCTTGATCTGATCATCGAATAGGTGTTTTTAATTGTTTCTTAGAAAAACTCATTACAGTTTCTTCACATTTCTAGAAAAATCAGGTGTATGGGTTCAAAGTCTTTTTGTTCCAAATTCCGATTTTGAGCTAACCAGTTTGGAATAGCCCGTTGGGCTACCTAGCTGAAAACGTTTTATGAATCTCCGATGAATATTGACTACCCTAGTGAATGTACTCAAGTGTGAGTACTCAAAAAGTACTCTGCTAGAAAAACCGGACGAGTACTCATACGTACTCATACATTTTTTTACTCACTGAGTACTCACCTGAGTACTCATGAGTGAGTA